CTAAGGTACAGGTGGTCTAAACTACCCTCCACCAGAACAATTCAGCATCCTTGCTACCCAAAGTGTGCTTGCCAGACCAGCGGCAGCAACAGCAACTAGAAAAACAGAATCTTGGTCTCACTGCAGACTTCCTGAATCAGAATCTTCATTTTAATAAAAACCCCACTGATTCAATGTGAATATTAAAATACGAGACTTACTGCTCTGAATCTTGTTTTCCAAACATTGGTTACTTGTGCATTGCCTATAATATTTGTAATTGGCTATAAATGTATTTAATTTTTTAAAAAAATCGATTTACTTTTTTTTTTAAACATTTTATTTATTTGACACAGAGAGAGAGAGGGAGAGCACAAGCAGGGGGAGCAGCAGAGGGAGAGGGAGAAGCAGGCTTCCCGCCGAGCAGGGAGCCTGATGCGGGGCTCGATCCCAGGGTCCTGGGATCATGACCTGAGCTGAAGGCAGACGCTTAATGACTGAGCCACCCAGGCGCCCAAAAATCGATTTACTCTTTAACTTTTAGTTTAGCCTGTCTTAAGCAAAACTATCCTTGGATCATGAGTCTGAAGTGCTAGTTTATTTTTCAGCACATTAAAATATATACATAATTATTAAAATAAAAATGCTTGCCTCCCCAACACACAGAGTAACACACATGTGGTACTGTGGGGTGAGGCTGACAGTGAATGCCAGAACACACACAGTTTATCCAGCCTCTCACTAATCTTATGGATGAGAAAATTAGCATCAAAGAGGGGAGCTATTTATGCCAACACAGCTATTTATGGCAAAACCAGGAGCAAAATCAGAAAAGAATTTTCTGATGGGTGCTTATTCCTTCGCAAATCTTCTCCCCTGTAGCTGGGAGAAAAATTGCTTGTACCCTCTTCTGTTTCAAAGGCCTAACGCTGAACAACATATCATGATTCATTTACGTTCCTGCTCAGTGAGGCAGTTCTCTTGTCTTCCTTTCTGTAGGAGATATCTGTCAGTTGGCAGCTGGCCACACATCGGAAAACCCTCACTACATACTGATACATTTCCCACCTAATCAATATGCACCTTCCCCAAGTAGAATCCAGCGCACTCACAATCCCAGACTCCCTTGTAACAGGTTTAAGGCGTGTGACTTATGTTGGTCAATCAGATGTGCCATAAAAAAATGAGACTGGAAGTGAGCAATGGGAAGAGACCACTTCCCACCAAGAAGTCTGTGTCTGACAAGGCGTCTTAGCCTTCATGACTGGCAGTGGCAGACTCTCTGGCATCCGGTCCTAAATGTGTTAGGTGCTCAAGCTGTGGTGGCAGCAGAAGCAGCTCCCCTGGTATGGCTGGGCATTGTTCTGAGCTGTGAAACTTTACATTCCTGCTGCTGGAGCCTTCTGGATCTTTCCACGAGCTACCCCTGCTATCCTCAAGGAATTCTTCTTGGGTTCGAAACCCTGGATTCCAGTTGGAACTAATAGGCTTAACAAATGTATCTTCTTAACAGCTTCTGCAGCCACATTCCTAATGCAAGTTCAACCTCGGTTTCCTCACCTGAACGGCAGGTGGTTACAATACATATTGCCTGAGAGCTCTGTCAGCAGTACAGTCTCATGACTGAGTATGGACCACAACTCTTTTCATACTGGCTTGAATAAAAGCATGAATCATCTCTGCAGCCTCGTTAGTCCTCATTATTAATTTATCAAAAATCACATATTAAGCACTAAACATCTTACAATGATTATTTTGAGTTAGAAAGACCTATGACACTTAAGCACTTTAGGTTTTCTAGGCCCAGAACTGCACAGCAGAAGTGGTATTATTTGTGCACATAATTACTCATGTAGTAAGAATGCTCATAAAACAGCTCTGCAACACACAGTAACCATCCTATATCACACAGCTCATGCATTACTTCAAATAAAATACTTAACTTTTCAGACAAACTGTAAAGTTTTCTTTATAATGGTAAAATTATCATTTATTTTACCTTTTAAGTTCGATGTGTCAAGAATCAAGAAAACCAAGACTAATTCTCACTGCCAATTATATCTACTATTTTGTCATGTCATGTGTCAGGGTAATATGAGGTTGCCTGTGTGTGTTATAATAATTAATTGTATAATAAAAGGCTTCAAGTGATCACAAATGCTATTACCCCCAGCTTTTCCAAATGATGCATGGGAATGATCTTTTCTTTAAAGTGATGATCATGCTGGAGCACCTGGATGGCTCAGTTGGTTAAGTGTCCAACTCTTGATTTAGGCTCAGGTCATGATCTCAGGGTCCTGAGATCAAGCCTTGAGTCAGGCTTCATACTCAGTGGGGCGTCTGCTTTAGATTCTCTCTCTCTCTCCCTCTCTCCCTCTCTGCTCCTCCTCCCTGTCATTCTCTCTCTCTCTCTAAAATGTATAAATAAAATCTTTACAGTGATCATGATGCTGAGTTAAAGCCCTTTCAATCAGGCATCAAAAGAAGAAATAAGCAAGTACAATATATACATACATATATATATTTTTTTCTTCCAATACTCTATAAATGTTAAAGATATGAGAAAGAAAGGAGTGAAGAATAAAACTCTGGAAAACTAATATTCAGGAAACTGGTGAAGCAAAGCAAGTCAGGAATCTATAGTGAGAAATTACAACAAGAGAGAGAATAATGTAGGAAGGGAGATGACAATGATTTAGAAGCTAAGGAAAGAATGTCAAAGTTTGACATTAAATAAACACTAAACATGTAGCTAAAATGTCTCCACCTCCCAGCTACGCCACCCTCCCTCAGCTTCCTGAGGCAGAGCAGGGTTTGGGGGAGATGTCAAAATTCTTTATAACCTCAGAATGATTGGATAACTTTGTGTGTAAAAAAAAAAAAAAAAAAAAAGGAAAAGGGACTGCTTCTTACGGCTAACTGCCAAGAGAAAACTGGGTGTGATCTTCTACAATGTACTAACCACCACCCTGCCCAAGAGTTTAGATAATTCTAAAATTTGGAAATCACCTGCCGATGATCCACTAAATCTCATAGGGCTAGGGTTTTCTAATGAGGCTTCTCATTTTTAGAGGCGGAATTTAAGCATAAGTTAAATAAAAGTACTTTAAGACAGGACATATTTGAAAAATCTTTGTTAGTTCCAGACATTCAAACAACAGAGTACGAGGCTAATAAGAGTAGTCAGAGCAGAGATATATTTTCCCAGCACCTACTAAATGCCAGGCTCAGGGCTTAGAGTTTTATATATTTTATTTTTATTTTATTTAAGCCTCTTGGCAGATCTGTCAAGAGTAATCCTATCCCCGTTTTACAGATGAAGAAACTGAGGCTCAGTGGGGCTAGGTAAACTTGCTAGTAATAAGTGGCAAAGAGGTAAGTCAGGTTTGTTTGGCTATGCAGAGACCTCTTACCCATACTGAGCATTGATGCTGTTGTACCCCCAAATCTCTTCAACTCTGGCCAGCTTCTTCTCATTTCTCAGCTGGATTTTGGTTTGGGCACCTTTTAGGGGCCTGCAGAGAAGCTGGGGCTCCAAGAAGCACTAAAATATGAACTCTTTTTTTTTTGTTTGTTTTTGTTTTTGTTTTTAAAGATTTTATTTATTTATTTGAGACAGAGAGAATGAGAGAGACAGAGAGCACATGAGAGGGGGGAGGGTCAGAGGACGAAGCAGACTCCCTGCCGAGCAGGGAGCCCGATGCGGGACTCGATCCAGGGACTCCAGGATCATGACCTGAGCCGAAGGCAGTCGCTTAACCAACTGAGCCACCCAGGTGCCCCTAAAATATGAACTCTTAACCAAGTAAGTAACCTATATGAGACTTCCATAGGAAAGCCACCAGTTTTTTTTTTTGTTTTGTTTTTTTAAAGATTTTATTTATTTATTTCAGAGAGAGAGAATGAGAGAGAGCACATGAGAGGGGGAGGGGCAGAGGGAGAAGCAGACTCCCTGCCGAGCAGGGAGCCCGATGCGGGACTCGATCCTGGGTCTCCAGGATCATGACCTGAGCCGAAGGCAGTCGCTTAACCAACTGAGCCACCCAGGCGCCCAGCCACCAGTTTTTAAAGGAAAAATGCTTATTTAAGATAGTTGTATAGACCATCCTGAAATAAGTTAAGGTTTTTGCTAATCTCAGACATACTGAAAGACCACAAGTTGAGATGGGCTGAACATAACTATTTTTAAATATTGAAAACCTACTAGCTAAAATTGTAGTTTTTTGTTTCGAAATACGTTGTTTCAGTGATTTTTATAAGTTGCAAAGCTCTCCAGTGCTATATTACCAAAGAATGCTCAATTAGAGCTTCTGAGGTCCAGCAGTATCGAGGACCCTGTATGAACAAGAAACCTGGGTTCAAACCCTACCTCCATCCTACTGGCTTTGTGATCTTGTCAAGGATGCTTAACCTCCCTGAGCCCTGGTTTCCTCAGGTATAAAGGAATAATAATTACAACATTGTGAGGAGATTACATAGAGCATTTAGCAGAGAGCCTGGTGTGGCTAATGCACATGAAGAGAATCTGAATTATTTTCTGAAGAGGTGAGAGCACTATATTTCTACTCACAGTATGTGTCAAAGTCCAATATTATTTATAAATATTATGATAATAATATTGACTGGACACTTATTATATGCCAGAAAGAATTAAAGCATAAATGGTTTTACTGGGTTTTAAATCATTCAAATCATTATTAAGAAATTACATTTCGGGGCGCCTGGGTGGCTCAGCTGGTTAAGCGACTGCCTTCAGCTCAGGTCATGATCCTGGAGTCCCGGGATTGAGTCCCGCATCGGGCTCCCTGCTCTGCGGGGAGCCTGCTTCTCCCTCTCCCACTCCCCCTGCTTGTGTTCCTTCTCTCGCTGTCTCTCTCGCTGTCAAATAAATAAATAAAATCTTTAAAAAAAAAAAAAAGAAATTACATTTCCCCCCTTCCCCCCAGCATAGAAATGATACTTTGTTCAAAACTTATCAACCTGAAGACTAGGAGTTTTTTCGTGTTGAAGAAATGACTGACCTTGGTGGCCAGGGCTGTTCCACCAGCAAGGGTTCTGGAAGGCTGACTGCTCTCGAGGCTTGTTGCTTTTTTCTTAAAAATAAAAAGTATTAGTTTCAATGGGGGAAACCGTCCTAACAATGTAGACAAGGCAAATTTTCATATCGATACAAATATCTTCTACAAATACCTTCTCAAGTGAGCTTCAGACTAAGACACTAATAAGCACACACAAAAATAAATGTGTTCTTAAATTTTTCATATCTTTGCCTAAAGACCATACAAGCATTGAAAAGGAAGAGGAAGTTGAATAAATACCAATTGCTCAATGATTCTGGAGTCAGTGATTCTGGAGGACTGCAAAAATCCTCACATGGGCAGTTGCCATTTCCTCCATGGAGCACTTCCAGAAACAACATCACTCTTACTGTGCTGGAGAGAGCAGAAAGCTCAGGCCAACCTCCACGGTGGGTTTTTTAGCAGTAAGTATCAAAGATGCAATTCTACTTCTAAAAATTTATCTCAGAGAAATAAGAAGAGAGAGAGCTAAAGCCTTTTTTCTTCAAAGATATTCCTCACAGTATTATCTCATCAAAAAGCTGAATACAATATAGGTAATAATAATGAATGTCTACTGACTACTTACCACGTGCCAGGCAATGATTCCATTAGAATAATACAATGATACAATAGAATAATAGAGTAATAATGCTTTAGTAAGACTATCTATTTAGAGCATTATTATAAGCACTCTAAGTGTTTTAAGTACGATGTGTCATAACTTAATCTTCACAGGAATCGATATGTTGCTGGTACTATTGTTATCCTCATTTTACGGGTGAGGAGACTGAGGAATGGGATGAGTTCATAACTTGGCCATCGTCACGGCTGGTAAAAGATAGGATGTCTGCTTCAGACCTTATTCTCTTCCCTGTCTGGACTGCCTCCCACAATAGAGGGTTGTGCTATGGACATCTACAGGATGAAGTATCATACAGTTACTAAAAATCATGTTTAAGAAGGACATTTCATTAAATGAAAATATTGTGCATATTTTATATAGAGAAAAATCAGCTTATAAAATAGTATGTATAGTATGATCACTGAAGTTCATATGAGATTATCTTCTGATGGTGCAGTTAAGAGTGATTTTTAAAAATATTCTTCTTTGTGCTTTTTTGTATTTTCTTATATAACTATACTGTTTCAACTAATAAAAGAACAATAAATGGAGGGCAGAGAAAAGGAAAGGTAAAATACACAGCTTCTTTCTCAACAAGGCCTTGATATATCTCTTATGAAGATCCCTATTTCAGAGAAGTAAGCTTATAAACTAAAAAGCTTTATAATGTCAAGTGTTGAGATTATGCTCCAACAACTAAAATATGTGAATAATGTACTATAAGCATTGAATACAGGAGGGATAGTACTGCTGATACATAGCATATTAAAAAGTTATCAATACAGTAACATTTTTAAAAATATATAATTGAGAGCAATCTGGCTTAATTCTTTTTACATTTAGCAAGATTTATATTTTTTAAAAATGCCTGCCATGGAATCTTGGGCTGAAGCCTTCTTTTCCTTCAGGTTAAATATTGCCTCAGCAAGCAGAAAAGTCAAAACTTAGCTTGCTTTCTTCAGAGTATCATCGTTCCATGTCCATGGCTGACCATTTCCAGCAGGTCATCGAAGCAACAGGCTGGATACATGCTCATGAAATGGGTATCCCAAGAGGCCTCACAGGCAGCTGCAGGAGTCCCAGGCTCCCAGGCATCACCTGCTGACTAAAGTCTCTCCCAAGCAGACATGCAGTGCCATCGGCCAAGGGAAGAAAAAGTCTTAGATAAATGGGATAGAAATAAAAGAGGCTGCGAAAAAGCTGGTATTTGTAACTGTGGTAAAGGAGAGAGTGAAAGAAGGGGATGGCCTAAATTTAATCCAGATCACAAGTCTCTCTCAAAAATATAAAGTATATGAACAAATAGCTTCTGACAGCCATAGCGTATACATGGATTCAGTGTAAGGGAGCGGACCTAAGAAAGACAAGAATACGGCAGTGGGGTTATTGATTTCAACCTCACTGTGCACTTCAACCTCCTCAGTTTCCAGTGAGGAGATGGAAGCCCAGAAAGCTCAGGCCATCGCTCCATGGGCCACAGCTGCCCTGCACTCCAGCTACTAGCCCTTGGTCTCAGCTACAGTCAAGGAAGGTCACATTCTAATCCTGCCCTCACGGCAGCTCCTCTCCCCTGAGTCAAAGCCCCCATACCAGACCCTGGCTCCCCCGTAAACGAATTCCACTCTAACACGTCAGCTAGGATTTTCCCAAGAGAATTAAAAAAAAATTTTTTTTTGGCTGAGTTATAAAACTATTAAAATAGTTTAAAAAATAACTATTTGAACTTAATATACATGCTGATTTTTATTTTAACCTTCATAAGAACTCAAGGTTTACTTTTTATTTTCATTCATTAAATTCAATAACTTTTAACTCAAATGAGGATCTCTCAGCTTTCCTGTGGCTATGACCTGTCACTCCAAAGCTTGCCTTACCCTCTGACCCTGTATAACCTAGCCTACAAAGGACTAATTTAGTTTAGCTGAAGCAAGAGTGGAATTTGTAACAATGATCTTTTATTATCTAATATTTATTAAGCCCTTGTCAGTGTCACGTTCTTAAAACACAACACAAAAGTTAGAAATGCACATATACCAGAGCACAGACTCCTCATCCTCAGGTTAGTAACCAACATTTAATTACAGATGTTTGGGCTGATATCTAAGTCTTGGCCATCCTTCTTCAACTGTGTCTGACTTCATGCATCCCTTCATTCATTCACTCATTGGACAGGCATTTACTGAACCCTGGCTATGAGCCTGGTCCTATTCTAAGCAGTAGAGATGTAATAACCAATTAAACAGAAAAAGCTCCTGCTCTCATAGTGCTTACATTCCAGTAGGAGCAAAAAGACTTTAAATATGTCAACAGAAACAAGATGATTTCAGAGAGTGATGTGTGCTGTAAAGACAACGAAACAGGATAATGTAACAGAGAGTGACTGGCTGAGGCTTGCTCCAGACGGGGTACACAAAGGAATGACATTTGATTGAAGCCCGACTACACATAACCCAATCATGAAAATATGGGATCGGGAAGGGGAGGCATTCTAGGTGGACAGGGTCACATGTGCAAAGGCCCTAAGATAGGAATGGGTTTGGCAAGTTAGAGAAAACAGAAAAAAGGTTAGTATCGGTGAAGCAGGGTGGGCCTGGGCATGTATGGTATGAGATGAAACAAGACACTGGATGAAGATATTTAAGCTAAAGTGATACAAGTTTAGGATGGCCCTAGAGTCAGGTATGTTTGAGATCATGGGTTTCTTCCAGCTTGAGCCTGCTTCCTGATCTTCTCTGGTGACCATCTAGCCCTCTCGAGTCCTCCCTTATCTCCAGCTGAAAAGTTCTCAAAGTTCTCTGGCTTCATGTCACCTTGTGTTAGTCATGCAGGCATCTTCTTTACCCTCACTCCCCTATCCCCTTGGAAATCCCACTCTGGCCTGGACACCAGTCTCAACTGGTTAGGTCTGCATATTCACTAACTAGTGATAGGGCTGCATCTACCCTCAGAAAGAAGAGAATTCATCCACTCACAGTGAGCAGAAACTCTCACCACAAGCTCATTCGGCTATGACTCTGCATTTGTCCTAACATGCAGATATACTCCAGTCTCTGAAAGATTAAGACATTAAATGAGGATGCCAATACTATAATGACTCAGATTTTGAGTTACATTATTTTTTTTTCATTTCCATAAACCCATAGACCAAAGGCCAGCAGGAAGATTTTTCCTTGCCAACCAATCACAAGTCTTGTAGTATTTATGAGCACTTCTTTAAGTTTTATAGAAAAGAAATAATCGGGAAGAGACTGCCCCTTATCCCTATCCATCAGGTCCCAGGCCTGGCTGAGTCATTCTTTCCTTGTAGTTGACTGAGCAGGCCACGGGCCTCAGTCCTAATGACTGACGGAGAATGTGTGTGATCTCCCCTGCAGTGCTGAGTGTATCCAGGCCGTTTCAATGGACTGTGAACCCACACCTACTTTAAGCAGACTCTCCCACCTCCAAAAGTGGTTCAGAGTCTGCCAGCCAAGAGACCCACAAAAGAGGCACCACGTGCTTGAGTTCAGTGAATACACAGATTAGATCGCTTCTACCCGCAGCTGCAGAAAGGTATGAAAAGAATGAATTATATACCTTTTTTATATGTCTGCCATAGTTCGTAATACAGATTATTTTTATTAAATGAGTCAGAACTCAAGTCTTTTTTTTTTTTTTTTAAAGATTTTATTTATTTATTTGACAGAGACAGAGATAGCGAGAGCAGGAACACAAGCAGGGGGAGTGGAAGAGGGAGAAG